TGAAGGCGAGATAAAGATTTTCCCAAATAAACAAAAGCTTGGGGAGTTCATTGCCATTAGACCTGCCTTACAAGAAATGCTGAAAGGAGTTCTTCAAGCTGAAATGAAAGGATGGTAACTAGTAACATGAAAACATATGAAGGGGCTCCTGGTTGGCTCAGTTGGTTGGGCATCTGCCTTTGGCTCTGGTCGTGATCCTGGGTTCCTGGGATAGAGCCCCACATCGGGCTCCCTGCTCAGCAGGGGGGCTGCTTCTCCCTCTCCCTCTGCCACTCCCACTGCTTGTGCTCTCCTGCTTTCCCGTTCTGTCAAATAAATAAATAAAATCTTAAAAAAAATAAAGATTTTATTTATTTGACAGAGAGAGACACAGCGAGAGAGGGAACACAAGCAGGGGGAGTGGGAGAGGGAGAAGCAGGCTTCCCGCTGAGCAGGGAGCCGAATGTGTCACTCGATCCCAGGACCCTAGGACTATGACCTGAGCTGAAGGCAGACGCTCAACGACCGAGCCACCCAGGTGACCAAATAAAATCTTCAAAAAAAAAAAAAAAGAAAGAAAACATATGGAAACATAACATATGCTGGTAAAAGTAAGTATAGCGTTGGATTAACAATACCCAATATTGTAATATGGTGGTGTGATAACCACTTTAAGACTTCAATAGCCCACTTTCATCAATGGATAGAACATCCAGACAGATAACAAATAAGAAAACACTGAATTTTAACTCTACTTTAGACCAAATGGATCCAACAGACATGTACAGAACATATCCACCAACTTCAGTAGAATATACATTCTTCTCAAGTGCACATGGAACATCGTCCAGGATAGAGCATATGTTAGGTCACAAAGTAAGACTGAAATCATACAGAGTAGCTTTTCTGACCACAATCATATGAAACTAGAAGTCGATAACTGGAGGAAAACTAGAAAATTCAGAAATATGTGGAAATTAAATAACACACTCCTGAAAAACAGTGGGTCAAAGATGAAATCAAAAGGAAATAATATTTTGAAACAAATGAAAATGGAAACACAACGTACCAAAACTTATGGGATGCAGCAAAAGCAGGGCTAAGAGGGAAGTTTATAGCAATAAATAACTACCTTAAGAAAAATGATTTTGGGGAACCTGGGTGGCGCAGTAAGTTAAGTGTCGAACTCTTGGTGTCCACTCAGGTCGTGATCTCAGGGTGGTGATTTCAGGGTCGTGAGATGGAGCCTGCATAGGGCTCCATGCTCAAAGCGGAGTCTGCTTAAGACTACGTGCACCCCGATGTTTATAGCCACAATGTCCACAATAGCCAAACCTGTGGAAAGAGCCAAGATGTCCATCGACAGAAGAATGGATAAAGAAGATGTGGTATATATATACAATGGAAAATTATGCAGCCATCAAAAGGAATGAAATCTTGCCATTTGCAACGACGTGGATGGAACTGGAGGGTGTTATGCTGAGTGAAATAAGTCAATCAGAGAAAGACATGTATCATAGGACCTCACTGATATGAGGAATTCTTAATCTCAGGAAACAAACTGAGGGTTGCTGGAGTGGTGGGGGGTGGGAGGGATGGGGTGGCTGGGTGATAGACATTGGGGAGGGTATGTGCTATGGTGAGCGCTGTGAATTGTGCAAGACTGTTGAATCACAGATCTGTACCTCCGAAACAAATAATACATTATATGTTAAAAAAAAAAAAAGAAGAAGATAGCAGGAGGGGAAGAATGAAGGGGGGGGAATCGGAGGGGGAGACGAACCATGAGAGATGGACTCTTAAAAACAAACCAAGGGTTCTAGAGGGGAGGGGAGGTGGGAGGATGGGTTAGCCTGGTGATGGGTATTAAAGAGGGCACGTTCTGCATGGAGCACTGGGTGTTATGTACAAACAATGAATCATGGAACACTACATCAAAAACTAATGATGTAATGTATGGTGATTAACATAACAATAAAAAATTTAATGGAAAAAAATAAAATAAATACATCTTAAAAAAGAAAAAGAAAAGGGGGCGCCTGGGTGGCTCAGTCGGTTAAGCGTTTGCCTTTGGCTCAGGTCATGACCCCAGGGTTCTGGAATCTAGCCCCCCCCCCCCCCCCCCCCGCAACCTGCCCAGTGGGGTGGGGAGTCTTCTTCTCCCTCTCCCTTTGCCCCTCCTCCCCTGCCTGTGCATGCTCCCTCTCTTATTCTCTCAAATACATAAATAAAATGTTTTTTTGAAAAAGAAGAAAAAGAAAAATGATCTCACTTATGTGGAACCTAAAAAAAATTAAAAGACACAGAGAACAGATTGGTGCTTGCCATTTGCAGTGGATGAGAGTGGGCAAAATGGGTGAAGGTGAGCAAAAGTTACAAACTTCTGGTTATAAAATAAATAAGTAATATACAGAATAGTTACTATAGTTAATAATACTGAATTGCATATTTGAAGGTTGCTAAAAGAGTAGATCTGAAGAGTTCTCATTACAAGAAAAAAATTTTGTAACAATATATGGTGATGGGTATTAACTAGACTTACTGTGGTGATCATTTCCCAATATATACAAATATCAAATAATTACATTGTATATCCAAAATGAATACAATGTTATGGGTCAATTATATTTCAATTTTTCAAATAAACTTAAAATTAGAAATAAATGTTTATTATATTAATTAATGGATGTTCCATACAAAAATTAAGATCTTCCTAACTAAACATGGAGACTATAAAATCCATAAAAGAAAAATAGACATATTTTAATATAGAAATATAAAAAACACTTTTACATGGCAAAATATACTATAAACAAATCAACATAAATTGTATAGGAGGAAAAAAATTTGTGAAGTAGTTAAAAGATAAAAGTTAATATCTATACTTTACAAAGGACTTTCCTAAACTGAAAAAAAAAACTTTTCAAATAAAAGTGGGCAAGGAATTTAACTGACAAATCAAAGAAAACTAAATACAAATGACAATATGCTCAAATTCACTGGTGGTATGTGGAATTAAAATTAAAGTTACAATGATATATAAAACCACTATTGATTTTAGAGATAAGAAAGAGTGCTCATTACTTGGTGGAAATTAAAAGTACGACAAAATTCTTGGAATGTACTCTAGCAACACTTTTTTTTAAAGATTTTATTTATTTATTTGACAGAGAGAGACACAGCGAGAGAGGGAACACAAGCAGGGGGAGCAGGAGAGGGAGAAGCAGTCTTCCCGCAGAGCAGGGAGTCCGACTTGGGGCTCGACCCCAGGACCCTAGGATCACAACCTGAGCGGAAGGCAGACGCTTAACGACTGAGCCACCCAGGGGCCCCTAGCAACACATTTTTAAAAAAGATTTTATTTATTTATTTGACAGAGAGAGACACAGTGAGAGAGGGAACACAAGCAGGGGGAGTGGGAGAGGGAGAAGTAGGGTTCCCAACCAAGCAGGGAGTCCAATGCCGGGCTCCGGGGGCTCAATCCCAGGATCCTGGGATCATGACCCAAGCTGAAGGCAGATGCCTAACGACTGAGCTACCAAGGTGCCCCTCTAGGAACACATTTTAAAATTAAAATTATTAATACCCTTTGATGTGTCTGTTCCATGTCTGAAAGTGAATTTCACAGGAATAAAAGCACCAATATTTTAGAAATATGTAAATGATAGTTCAGCATGGTTTATGAGGGCAAAAGAACACTTGAAACAAAGTGCTCAACAAGTGAATAACTGAATATATCAGTGATTCATCCTGCATTATGAGGTACTAGACAGCTATTAAAAGTATCAGATTTGTGGGGATTTCCAAAGACATTGGTGATTGAGAAGTGTAAAATGCATTACCTATCCTAATAAACTTTCTAAAATAAACAATAACAAAAAAATCCACCAGATGCATGCACATGTGGAGCAATTAAGTGACTGCAAATAAATATGTGAAAAGAAAATCACAAGCCTCCTTTGTATTGGATACCTGACAGGAATGGTGATGTGCCCAGAAGAAAATGAGGAGGGACCAAACCAAAAAAGTTTTTTTTTTTTTTTTTTTTTTTTTTTTTAAGAAACAAAAAAGAACTGGGGCACCTGGGTGGCTCAGTCGGCTGGGTGTCTGCCTTTGGCTCAGGTCATGATCCCAGGGCCCTGGGATCAAGCCCTCCATCGGGCTCCCTGCTCACCGGGGAGAGGGGAGGCATTGCTTCTCTGTCTCCCTCTGTGCTCTCTTTCTCCTCTCTCAAGTAAATAAATAAAATATTTTTTAAAAACAAAAAAATGAACTTTTAAAAGGCATTTTTGTAAAAGGTTATGTGCTCTTTAAAATAAAACACATATACGGGCATATGTATAAATTTTTTAAATAAAGACATTTGTTTTAAAATTCTCATTAGCCTCATTAAAACAAACCTTTCTGAACGCTTAAGTATTTATAATGTGTGGTTTCTTGCAAATGTGCACATAGGAAATAAATACTTACAAACTGTTAGTAATACTTTAAAAAACCCGCACAAATGATTAGCATTATGGGCAATTTGTTATGGCTTTTTATTTACGATTTCAATCTGAACAATTATTTGTTTGGAGAGACAGAACAGGCGCGTGGGGTGGGGGGAGAGGTGAAGAGAGAGAATCTTTAAGCAGGCACAGAACTCTGAGCTAGCCCCACCTGAGGCTCAATCTCCTGAACCTTGAGATCAGGACCTGAGCCGAAATATAGTCCGAAGCTTAACCGACTGAGCCACCCAGGCGCCCCAATCTGAACAATAATTCAATCCATGATGTCAATAACACTCATTAAATACCATAAAGACGAGCAAAATTAAAGAATAATGTTACAACTGAGAATGACGAACCTTAGACGATAAAACTGAGAGTTAGGCTAAAAGAGTAAGGCAGTTTTTAATACGAACTCACCTCTTGCAAATGTGCTAAGTCTGGTTCTCTTTCACCCGTTCCCTCCGTAGAACTCAGACACGGAGGAAGGCTGGGGCTGAAGGCCATGAGGTCGGTCTTGG